GCTACTATCATTTTGAGAATTATGATTATCATTACTATTCTGACTATTATTGTTACAACTACTTCGGCCCACTTGCAAAGGGCTTCGCACATCAGAATAAGCAGCCATGCCAGCCACCAGTCCGGGCATGTTCCAGCTTGACTGCGACCCCATCTGGGTAGTTCCCGTAATCATGGGCCCCTTTTGATTAATGATCATATTACGGCACCGAATACTTTGGGGTCCCCAAAAGGGACCCTACTCACGGAAACTACGCAATCTGCTGAATCATCCCTTCGGGGGGGGGGGGTGGCTCAACCACCGTCAGAATTGGCCGCATGGACGGTGGCTTCTGATGGGCAGCTACTTACTTGAGGGTTTCCCAAAATTAGGGGCCCATCTTTTTTGGGATTCCCATATACAGATTCGAGTACTTTGGAGTTTATATTGCGCTCCCCCCTATCTATGGACACTACCGTGTAGCCCCTATACCTATGGAAACAGCCATGTAACCCCTCTGGAATTCCAGGTTCCATTTGGCTTTCCATGCGATTCCCCGTTCTTGGGGCAGAGTATATCTCTCTAGCAATATATCCCTATTCTATCCTCATATAATCCGTATAACCTTTTTTATTCACTAAATGATATCATCCCTCTGGCTTACTTACCTGCTACGCGGCCTGTGGCGCAAGCGTGAATGACACCTGCAAAGGTGGCCTGGCATCACAATTGTCGAGATGAGCAGTCATCAGGTTTTTGCTTCACTTTAATGATTGAATGCCGCAAGGATGTGGCTTCGAAAGGATTAGAATGGCCTTGAAAACTGGAGCTATTATGTGATCGGCTCAGAAAGCACTTCGCACCACTCAAATCATTTGGTAGTTTCCCAAGATAGGGGGGATCCCAATATAGACCCCAAGACTAGAATCCTTATTATGGGGACCTCCCAAAAAGGTACCCGTAATGTTGGGAAACCCCCATTTGAATAGTTCATAACAACGCCAAGCTTGCGCCTTTTAGTTGCCAAGCAAGAAAACCCAATCACCCAGAACCCCGTCCACGCCATTATGAACCTTCTCGTGGGAAGGAAACCTAATTTGCGTCCAGAAAGCTCACAACTCAGCTTATCCCTTGAGGCTTTAGGAGTGATGCTGCACCCTTGTAGCTTATGTGGGGTAATATGGTAATAGACTAAAAAGGAGTATGTGGGCCATGCTATAACGGCGAAATACGGAAAAGGATACTTTCCCAAGATAGGGGGACACTAATATAGACCCCCAAATACTATAGTCATTATTCTGGGGACCCCCAAAAATGTACCTCTGATTTTGGGAAACCCCCAAATGGCATCAAGTCCTAAAGCAAACGATGAGGCCTCTGTCGGCCGCAAGCTGCTCCGGAGCACAGCGCGGAAGTACCAAAGGGCCCACGGCCACCTGAATACACAGAAATATTCAGTATTGCAAGGACCCGAGCTATAGTCTAAACTCCTAGTATCCCCCTTACTAACTACCCCTATAATATTCTCATACATTAACTATTGCAATGGCCTTACGAAGCTGGAGGACAAGATTATGCTTGGCGCTTTGCCTCACGTCAGACTGAAGTCTCCCAGTGCTCAAATTCCGAGGCCGGCCGCTGGTTGCCGCTGGAGCAACTGATCATGGTGTTGTAGGTGACCACGTCCTGAACCAGGTACCATAATGGGAATATGGGGTATATCATGAGTATATATATATATAATGATAATTAGTATGGTTTCACCAATGCACGTACTTCAGTTAAATTCCCTAAATGGTATGTGTATATACTGGTATATATACATATATATCTACATATGATAACGAGTACAGTTTCCCCAATATAATAGCTGGTGTTGTAGGTGACCGTGTCCTGGATCAGGATGCTGGCTGCACTCTGCTGGGAGCTTCTGAGATGATGACATGCGGAGCAAAGGCTTTGGCAGCGGTATTTCTTATAGACTTTTTTTGTTGCAAAACCTTATAGACTTTAGGACCTTAGGAGAAAGGTTGGGGGTCCCATAATAAGGATTATGGTATTTTGGGGTGTATATTGGGGTCACCCTATTTGGGAAACTACTAAAGAGTATAGGGCAGCTTGCTCTGAAGTGGGGTTATTGGTTTCACCGAGCTCAACCTGCAGAGCTGCACTTTAACCCTGAAGCGCCTCCTTCCCAGAACCAGAAAAACTAGTGAATGTCTTAGGTGGACCCCCACCCTGTAATAGTGACTCTAGGGGTAATGTGCTAGGGTCCTATTATATCCATACCCTGTAATAGTGGCTATGAGGGGCAACAAGGATTATGTTAGGGTACGGTTATATTCATATTATACCACTATTACAAGGTGGGGGGTCCACCTAATGAATGTCTATGGTGACAGGACGGTCCGGTAAAACGCTCCGCCCCTTCATGGCGGCCAGCAACGACCTGGCCGGCCAAAGGAACTGTCTAGGATGCAATTCGACCTTCCTTGGCTTCGACTCTGGAGGGGGGTTCCTTACCTTGCGCCTGAGATGTAGAATCAATGTAGAAGTGGGGAATTCTCCTTCAGCAACACTTGGACAACCTGACCATCTCTGCTGCTGACGGACCTTTTGTGCCTATTTTTCTTGACTGGAAGAAGTGGGGGCTTCTCAGCATTTTGCACGGCTAATTCTGACAACCTTCTCTGACTTGAAGGACTGTTTCGCAAATAGATGCACCTTGCCCGCGACCATCGCCCGTCGAGACAGCCAGCCAGTGCGGCGTTGGTGGCCTCTAGCATGTCAGCAACAGCATCAGCAGTGCTGTTTGAAGGCAACTGCTAGAACATATTCCAAACATGCTGTTGTTGCTGTCTAATACTGCAAGTCTGACAGTGTGAACAGTGCTATGCCAATGCAAAGTACCTGTCCGGATCTGGCGCATGTTTCCCATGTGCTTGGAATCTCTGAATGGTTTTTCATACTTCAGCCACAAAGCTTTCTTCTTGCCCTTGCTTCCTTCTACACCACGCAAAGAAGCCGTTCAAGCAAAACCACGTGGGGACTTCAACAACTTAGGGGGTCCCTAAAACAACGGTCATGATATCTTGGACCCGTACAGATTGGGATCCCGGATTTATGGAAACTACCACATGCCTATTTATGTGTACAGCTGATGCGCGCTTGCATCCAAAGCTCTCGAACCACATGCTGTGGCAGGATGGTCGCCAGCAGATGGTCGGAATGGCGCCAGTGGCTGCTTTGTTCCTGTTCCCGTGTTAGGCTTTGAGAACTCTCAAGAATTTGAAAAGGAACGAGAAGGATTTCCATTGTGCCATGTCCTGATGGGCTTTCCAGCTGGGGCAAGGCCCTATCTTTCCACCCAGATCCCTATATCATACTGTATTATGGTATACTATGTTGAATTCTACTATCCTATATATATAGGATGCTATGGTAAACCACAGTCTACTACAGTATACTTTGAATCTATCTTGGCCGAGCCACTGCCGAGCCCCGCTTGGTTGAGGAGATCTGCTACATGTTACTTCAAAACGGGACCCCAGGCTCTGCAACAGAGCTTAGTTCTGCAGCCGCACAGGAACCAAACAAGTGGGAGTTTGCTTTGAGCGATCCAGCAAGAACTTGCCGCCAAGTTTTCTATACTCTAATCTAAGATGCCATGGGGCTGGGAGACTTTGACCGTGCTGCTTCGGGTGCTTCAAACCCGGACCGTACGGTAAGCATAGGATCGTCTGCAGCGACCATTTACATGTCATCTCTGGTTGTGAATTTCTGAATAACTGCAGGGAAAATTGTTGTAATCTATCCGGAAACTCCGAACCCCTAACAACCAAATCATCAGGCATCTCGTTGCTATGTTTCGGTATCGGGCCAGAGATGTTTACTGACCCCCTGCCTGCTAAAAACACGCCCGACTCTACCAACGATGAATGCGCAACTGTACCACAAAAATACATTGAGAATATGTGTTCTGGGGCATGTTTCTTTTTTAAATTAACTATGCGGAAAGGAGCTTCTTATGGTGTGGGAAAAGCATCTTGCTGCGGGAAGGAAGTTTTGAATTTCGGACCGGGTGCCAGCGTCATTGCCAATGTCCCAAAGGCGGCAGCGTCGGCAAGCCGGCTCCTGTCATGGAACCATATACTACAGTCCTTAATATGGCCCGATTGGGGTCTACTCGGTCATCACGTTTGAGCGGGGGCGGAGGGGGGCTGTAGTCCAGCATCCCAAAAATGGAGTAGACATACCCCTGCGAGTAATGCTAATCCATCCAGCTAGCAGGCCTGGAATTTTGCAAAGAAGCAACTGTGCTGCTCGACAGCGAAGACAGTTGCTAGCCAAAATTGGGCCGGGAAGGTCTTCCCTTAACGGAATGGTTGTTGCTGCACGGTTTGCCGTAACATGACTCCCTACCCTTCGCCATCTCGGATTGTGCAGTCACCAGATGCGGACAACATGCGCAGAAAACTTAGCACTCATGGCTAACATCCCCTCGCGTTCTGAAGCACCTTCGGGCTTATTATCTCGAACAAGATTGCAATATCACGTGGCATTTTGAGAAGGCTAAGCATAGTCATAGGGGAGCTTCCAGGATAAGAGGTAGGAGGATCCCAATACGGACCCCCAAATACTATAATCCTTATTATAAGGACCTTGAAAAGGTACACTTAATTCCGGGAAGTTCAAGAATGCGCTACCAAGAAACTCTCACTCGTCCAGCTAGCAGCACCCGAAGGCCCTCATGACGCATGCCCTTCTCGTTTTTGCCAGTGCTGAAGCGATGACTGCGCTTCCAGAACATTCCACTTCCACCCCCAAGGGCAGATGGGCTCCGGCACTGGAGGTCTTCCTGGAGGTCAGCTCAATCCAGACCTCGCTGCATTCAGCGTACAGGTTTCTAAGGTTCAGGGTTTTTGGTGACATAAGATGTTGTGGTTAGGCAGGTGCAGGTGCCTCAGTATTTCAAACCGACATCAATGAAGTCAAACTTCTCAGGAACAGCGTAGGCACCTTCACGCCCCGCAGTGGACCTTCATCCCCTCATCTAGCTCTTTGTCGGTGCATTCAATGCCCTTCTCGTCCAAGCCCTTTCGAGCATACTCGTTTGCCCAGCCCTGCGTCCAGGCTTGGTCCATGTAGTCACCTTTCTTGAACATTTTGTGGCAAATCTCTTCTTTTGAGGTCTCGGCATCGTACATGGTATCCATCTCCTGGCTAACAGCCCAAACATTGCAGGACCCATCCGAGGCATATTCATGCTTGCAATGGAATTCGACGCCTTTGTCCATCTCTTCGTCTTTGCACTTGATCTTCTTCTCTTCGAGGGACTTCCGAACATATTCGCGGGCCCAGCCCTGCGTCCAGGCCTGGTCCATGTAGTCGCCCTTCTTGAAGAGTTTATGGCAAATCTCCTCCTTTGAGGTCTCGGCGTCGTACATGGTGTCCATCGCCTGACTGACATCCCACATATCACAGTGCTTCCGGGTAGTGCTTGACACTTCGTCGGAAATGCCGCGTCTTACCGCCGCTACCTTTGTTGATTGTGCACCAGTGCAGAAGAGCGTAAACTCAAACTTTCTACTGTACCTGCACTGCCTGCGCTCTACAAAAACAGCGAGCAACTGAACAAACAAACGCTTTGGGACTAGTTTTGGACTAGCCGCGCCCGCCGTGCCAAATACAGCAAACAGCACACGTGCCAAGAATGACATGGCTAAACGGGGCAGGGAGGATGAAGTTGGTAGGCAACGTCAGGAGGAAAGCTTATGCAACGGCTGGAGCCAGCAAAATGCATTGCAAAGGCCGTTCAGTCATGTGTGGTTGCCTGGTTGCTTGAGTTCAGAGCTTTTCCGCCTCAGGCCGTCGTCAACGTCAGGCTTAGGGCTTGGGTTTTCGAGTTCAGGGCCCCTTCACAACATCTACCCATCAAAGATCCTCCCCTCTATAAGCCTATAGTCCCCCTTAAGTAGATAGAATATGGCTTTGGATATGTTATAATAACATGCCCATATACCCCATATTCTATCTACTTGAGTGGGACTATTATATGGTTTAGGGTTTAGGGCTTGGCTTTGGGTATATCTCCATCTACTTAAAAAAGGACTATAGCCACAGCGCAGCCTGGACCGGCAACAGAGAAGGTGCAAGATGTTTATTTCCAGAACCCGAACCCCACAATAAAGACTTGAACGCAAACTTCCAAACAGGAATCGCTCTGGCCGGCCTCTGCGCATCTTGGCAGAGTGCGAGCGCATGGCGCCTTGCTGGATTGCGGAAACGACAGAGGGGGGAGCACCAGCAATCACAATCGTGGTTGGAGCGGAGCATTATTATCATTATACGTCTTGCTTGGAGCCACGACAGTTATCAGCCCTTTTGAAACTTGGGTGGTTCACCCAAGAAAGTCGAGGCTTGGAAGAGGGGGAGTCTACCAGCCTCTTTGGGAAACAAAGAGACAGTGTTCCATGCTGTTCGGTAGTAGTTGCACAGCAACTGCGTGCAAGAAATCTTAAGCCACTCTCTTGAATACTCGTAGGCCCTTTGCATCAGCCTTGGTTTTCCGTACGACCTGGCTCGCTGCAGGCATGTGCAAGTTTGGACAGCATGGAGAACGGAATGCATGAATCAGACACTCAACTTATCGAATAATGAAGCCCCCATATGTGTAACTTTGCTCCAAGAGAGGTACCTACCTAAGTGCTGCAAGCACAACGCCACCACAATTAGAGCCTCTACCCTATCCTCAGCTTCTTGCTGCAAAGTTGCCAAGCTCGGCCACGCTGCGCGGCCCCCAGGGCAGCGCCGACCGCAGCGGCGTCGGTGTGGCCCTACATGCGGGAGCTTTTCTGCAGATCAGCTCGTTTGAAACATGGTCGGGGATTCGAGTCTCCACCCCATGCCCATAGGAAAGTTAAACAGATTCAGCTTGACTACAGATTACTGTGACTGATGGCTCACTGTATATAGTATATGCCTGGCCCAGTATGATCTGCTCAGCTTCCGAACTCTCAAATCATGCACATGCCTATCCGACCACAAGGTCACTTATCGGGCTCCCATGAACAGGATGACAGCGCGCATCTGTTATTATTACCATCACTACTACCGGAGGCATTACTATTATTGCGATAAAATTTGCCCCCCCCATTAGGGATGTGGGCAGTGTAGGCAGATGCGCACGGCCTTGAGCCGGCCGAGGACGTCCAATGCGGCATGCCAACGAGATGCCTCTGCCACCACCACACGCAAGGCTTGCAGCGGATACTGGGGACGTATATTGGCGTTCGTAATAGTATTGCTGATGGTAATGTCAATTCTAACGTGACAGTAATAACGCTAATTCTTATTTTCGTAGTGAATGTAATGACAGTTGCACGAAAAGAAGAGTGCTTTGAGCAATCACGGCAATCGTGGTCATACTAAAAGCAAGAAGCATAATAATGGCAATAGTATTAATAATGACTTTAAGAACCGTGTCTAGACCCAACCGATCCTGTCATCCATAACTGGTCTGGATCCTGGATCGACCTGCTTAAGCACTGCCAAATGCCAAGGCAAATATCTTGTCATGTCCTAATGCCCCGGTTCAGCCGTCATCGTTTCGGGCGCAGCTGTACCAATTTTTCTGTTGTCTTATGCCGGGCAAGATCGATGCACGAGTTGTCCCAGTCACGGCTAAAAGCTTCAAGTTTGCTCAAGGCTGCCGTCTCCCTGCAGCCGCAACAACATGAAGGCCAAGTTGCCTTCCCTAAGGCCACGATCCGGGATTTCGAGACCTGACAGACTTTTCCAAGGTTCTCAGGTTTCAGGGCACACCTCCAAAGGATCAAGCTATAGAAACATCAGACAAGCTGCGCGCAGAAGCTTGCGCAGTTGACGTGGCCATACATCCATGGGCGCACATGCTGGACTATGTGTGGAGTACGAACTGGAGAGTCTGGCGTTTGATACTGATGGGTGCAAATCAAGCACATGCGGGTGCAGGGCTTGCGGCTGCAGAAATTTGGGCGTCATGCGACCTGATAGAGAGCCCGGCAATGCCGGCAATAGTCAGCAAATGAGATGACTCATGCCCAAATTCACGATGCACTTATGCCGCAGTACTCCTCGATAATGCGGTAATGCGGGCAGATCTTCGAAGCTTTATTTGCCTTAGCCTGGCTCGTCGAAATATGCCAGCAGCTCATCATAAGCTGAGCGGATTTCCATGAAACGCTGCGTCACCAAATCCTCCATGTCCTTGCTGTTCCTTTGCAGTCTGCTTGGTATGAGTTGTTAGTTCGAAGTTGGAGAATTCAAAGGAGGATGTTGTGGTTTCCAAAAATTAGGTGTACTTGTTGTGGGGTTCCTAGAAATAAGGATAGGAGCTACTTCGGGGTCCTTCTATTTATGGAAACTACCATTTAAGGGAGCCTGACCTTCCAACAAGCTTGGGCCCCAGCTTAGCTCCGTGACTGCTCTCGCACAGCTATGACCCCACTCAATAAACCTTACAAAAATCTGGGTTAACAAACTTAAATTAAGGTACCATAGAGGGATATAGTGGGTATATATAGTGAATAATAAGATTTCCTGAAGATAGCAACTTTATTTATGTTGAATAACAGCAACCAAGAAATTGATTGCAGCAGCTCAACCCCAACTCCAAACAGAGTAGGCCCAAGTGTCTTGTCCGGATGATACTTCAGCGCCAGTTTCTTATAGGCTGCCTGCGCACAGAATGGATGGAGCGATGTCTGACAAGGCCCTTCCCGCATACGCGTGCCTGATTGTAGGATAATGTGATGCTGCAATTGGCTTCCATAGCACATGCCGTCTTACACTCGAAGCCCGTTGCCTTACTGGAGAGTAGTAGAGAATCAGGGAATGCTGTATGGGTTCTGTGCCCTTGTTCCCTACTAACCACCATTAACTTGCTGGCCAATGTCGGCAGGCCTTGACATCCCGTAGGCTGGCGTTCGAGGGAAGTAGAAGGGTTTGAAGATGCTTGCGAACGTGGATCGGAACCTTACACGAAACGTCACACTGCAAAGACATCAGAATCATGCGCATGTGGCTACCCACAGAACCTGGTTCATGCTGCCAGGGGGCCGTTACCTGCGGTGGAGGCGGTGGCATGTACTCAAAGGGACAGTTCGGCCGCCCAGGGGGTTCCTGCCGCCACGGCGGGGTGAGCTCTCTCAGACTGCAAGGCCTCTGACCGCATTACTGAGCATCCCCTTCTAAATTTCGGGTACAACCGCGTGCATGGGAAAGATTGTCAGATGGCCATGATATGGACATGAATCAAAACTGAGCTCAAATTCTACGGACAACTGAAGCTGTAGAAACAGACCTATCGTTTTGACACTCAAACATCCTTTGCGGTCTCCCGTGGAGGTGGCCGCCATCCATTCGCATCGTTAGGCATCTTCGTCTGGCCGCCCGTCTTGGGGGCCCACTGAAACCAGATCGCCTCTCAGGGCGCAAATAGTTTGACTAGCTTTACGGGGCAGAATCTGCAGGAACTGTCTTTAGAACAAAATCGGTCTCCGTTCCAGGATGCGCAAATGAGTACTGGTCCCTTCCTGCATCCTCAACAAATTCGGACCTCACGGATCAAGCGCCCTCGCCGGCCCTGGAAATCGGCGGAGTTGAAGTATGCAGATCGCATCCCCATGTTCCAACACTCCTCTACATATTCTTTCAGGGACATCGTGCAGATTCTGGCAGAACCATCAAAAATAAAAACGCTCCTGGTGCCTTTGCTACTGCATCATCTGCTTCTAGCTTCTGCATTTGTAAAGAATACTGCTGCTACAAAGTCGCTGCAGCAAACTTCGAGATGAGTGATGCGAAAATTTCCATCTCCAGTCGTCAAAGCCTGATTCAATGAATGCCTTGTACCTTTCACAAGTAGGTTCGACTTGGACTTTGCTGGAGCATCCCCCTTGCTTGTAGGTGCTAGGGTTACATGGCCACTTAAATGGCTTCATGTGGCACTGAAATGGGTTCATGTGGGGTCTGAAATGGGTCCATGTGACTGTCGTAGGATACCTCGAAAATGCACCCCATTTCAGTGGCGGACCTTTGCGGTCCGACAGTCGGACCTGTGACTTTCCTAGGCTTTGCCACGTGCATCCCATGCCTGATAGGACCCTTTTCTACTTGGCCTTGTTATGTTTTTCTTATGCGTACCCTGGCTTACGAAAGTTTCCTTCCGGTTTTGGCGGCGTATAAGATCCCTGTATAGAACAGGCAGCGCTTCGGACTGTTTGGGAGATGTTGTACAAGGACTCCAAGAAGATGAGAATCCACATCCTGAAATCGGACCTAGCTGTCCAGCTGCTCCTCCCATTTGGCACAAGTTATGCAGCTGTTCCACTGCAGCCTTTTGGATGCTGAGTTTCGGATTGACCAATACGGTACGAATGTAGGTGTAATGTAACTTGGGCCCATTCTAGCAGCACAGTTCGGGCCTCAGTAGCCAACACACAGATGTGATGTAGTCAACCTGTAGCCCCGCTGGTTGGCTGGCTGGCTGGCTGTGGAGCCAGTACACCCCCACCGGCCCTGGCCGTGTACTGCGTCTAGGGGCTACCCTAGCACTACAGCTGGGGCCCCGTAGCCAAACACGCATATGATATTTTCAAATTTTCATTTTCTCTCGTAGTTGCCGGCCGTACCCAGCCTATAGAGCTCCATTCGAGTAACAAAGCCGCATTCTCACTAC